CCCGAGCTTCTTGTCTCCTTCTACATCTCTCTTCAATCTCCTACTTCACTCAATCTCCTCTTCTTTGTTCTGATCTCCTTCTTCCTCTTCTGTAAGCTTTCTTTCAACACATTCAAATCTTCCAACCTACAACCCAACTTCCCTACAAATTCTGCTATCATGTCTTCTCTCACCGAGTCTTCCACCCCTACCCTTCCTACAGAATCCCCTCCATCTCTGTCCACTTGTCCTTTCTTCCTCTCCTCTGGTTCCACCTCTGTTCTTTCCTCTCCATCCATCCTCCCTCTCCTGTTACCTCCCTCCTTCCCTGTTCTCTCCCCGTAAACCTCTCCATCACTACCCTCATTCCTTTCCCTCCTCTCCACTAACCCCTCCCCTCTTCCTTCCTCCCCTTCCCTCCTCCAGATCAACCTTCCTTCCACTTCCTTAAACACTCTTTCAATGATTTCCCACACTTTTTCACTCCTATACCTTCCTTCCCGCACCTTCCCCTCTCCCCTCCTTGGAGAGCCTGTCTGCTAGCTCAGTTGCATATTCATGGGCTACAGGACATGGAACAGAAACTGAATCTGGAACCAAAGACACAGGAGACACATTAGTAGCACAAACCGAAATCACTTGGTTACCTGGGACTGATGGACAAGCTAGAAAAGGACTTCTCCCGGCCTCCCTCTCTTGTTCCAGAGGGTGGTAACCCTCTATCTCCCTGAGTTGGTTGGGAAGTACTTTTGTCCTTTGGTCATCCTGGTGATCTTTCCACTCTACCCCTGGTTCACCCCTAGATGGTGTGTTCTTGCTCTGCTTCCGGTTCTCCCAGTTTGCCCCTTATGATAATCCTTGCACACTCTGAAATCTTGGGAATGAGTTAACCCGATTGCAGTCTTCATCCTGAAATAAGCTTGCAATATTCCACCCATCCATGTCACCTCCAGCACAACTACCTTCGTCGTTTACACTGCCCACGCTAGTACCAACAACAGAAAAGTCCACCGAATCTTCATCTCCTTCACTGCACTGCACCCAGCCTTCATCCTTCTCTTCCCTCTCTTCAGTTCTTTCCCTAGCGTATCTTGGATTCGGCCTCTCTAAGGAGCGTTGCAGGGGGCTAAGCTCCTCCAGACTTCGTCGGGAAACCTACTGCAAATCCCGCTTTTTCTCCATTTTCCGCCGCTACGTGCATTCCCCCCCCCCTTTCTCGCGACTTGGGACGATGATAGACCATTAGCATCGTCTATCAGCGCCCCAAGAAGAGTCCCCATACCCCGACCCACGTGACATTTTAAGTTATCACGTGGGTCCTTCAAGTGGAGCCTCCTTTCGGTGTTACACCCACCCGACCCGCCTGTGTGACCTTTTAAGATGTCACGTGGGCCCTTCCAACGCTGTCCTGGCTCAACCTTCGCCCTGCCCGACCCACCCGCCACCTTCAACAGCTCGGACCAAACCTTTCGGCTCCCCAACCCATTCTGCCTCTTCGCCACATCAGCATATGAAGAAGAGCCCGCCATTAGTTTGTTTAATTCAAACCCATTTGAATTAGTTTCCTTAATTAGGTTGCTTGTCGTTTGGTTTTCCCCAACCGGCTCAGTAACCCCAAAAAAATCTTTCATCTGCTCCACCTTTTCATCTCCCAACCTCTGCCCTCCACGTGTCCACCACCCAGCCAGCTCATCATCTTCTACCTTAGGAGCACCTTCCCACCACGACCGTTCAACTTCGGAAGCCACCCACACCTTGCACCAGGCTTCATCCGAGCAGATTTCAAAGAACCTCGGCAGGTTCTCATGCCTTACACCAGCTACCTGTAACTCCACGGCACCCAGATTTCGTTTATCAGC